AATGCACATTTCGTGGCAGGCGCAGGACTTTGTCGATGTTGAAGTGCAGATAGATAGATAGATAGATAGGAAAGAAAGAAAGATAGAAAGATAGATAGATCGAGAGATAGATAAATAGATATAGACAGACAAATGGATAGGTAGACAGATTTGCATTGGAATAGTGTAGGTGTCAGACTATCACAGCAGTTTGGTGCAGTTACAGTAGCAGAAAAGCAAAGAGAAAGATTTCGTGGCAGGCGCGGGTGGCGGAGATGAAGTGCAGATTTCGTGGCGCGGGGGGGGGGGGGTGGGGGGGGGGCGCAGCGCCCCCGCCAACAGCACACCAGATCCAAAGGTGAGCAGCTCTTGCTTGCTTGCTTGCTTGCTGCATTGCAAGCATTTCCAAAGGATGAACATGGCGGCCTGAATCAGGACTCTCAAGAAATGTGATGAAGAAGCGGCTGGAAGTCATCAATGTGGGACAATGCAAACGAGTCCGCAGTGTGGGTTGGAATCTGATGGGCTGACTCAAAGTCACAAACCAAGCTTTTGGGCGCTGACTTCACATTCCTCCAAAGATGGACTAGTAGCAAACAGCCACAAAAGCCACAGAAGCCACGAAAGCCAAAAGCCACAAAAGCCACAGAAGCCACGAAAGCCACAAAAGCCAGAAGCCACAGAAGCCACAGAAGCCACGAAGCCACAGAAGCCACAGAAGCCACGAAAGCCACAAAAGCCACAGAAGCCACGAAAGCCACGAAGCCACAGAAGCCACAGAAGCCACGAAAGCCACAGAAGCCACGAAAAACAAGAAAACATCCTTAAATGCTAGCTGATCGATGTCGGGCGCTCCTGGCCGTCATCCGGGAGCCCGAAAGCCCTGAATGGCAAGGCCCGCAGCGTCTCATCCTCCGCTCAGAAGTCAGAAAAACTGTTGTCCCTGAAAGTATACACGCAACATAAGGCTATATAGGACCTGCAGTGGGGAAAGATTCTATGGTGCAAAAAAAGCGTCCTATTGGGCCAGCGCTTGCCACAAACAATCCAGCGTTTTGAGATGGTAAGTCGCCTCTAGTGAGTTAAGGTGCTATTCAATATTGGGATATGATGGTTCGGAGGACCCCACTGCGAGTAGGGCACCCAGCCTGACAGGCTCTGGCCTAGCAGGACCTGGTGGAGTGTTGGGTGTTGCCGCGTTCTCTTGCCGCCTTTGGAGGTACTGGAGGTATTCAGCGTTCATGGAGGCTTGGGCAAAATCCCGTGGTGGTCCCATGGATCTTGACGTGTCCATGGGTCTTGGCTCTCTGATGACATCGACCCACTATAGCATAGCCGGCACCTCCTGGTGCGCCCATCGGCGCACCACCAGCTGCGGCGGCGGCAGGAGCTGGTTCAGCTTCCTCTGCAAAAAGTCCCGGCGGCGGGGACATGAACGACATCGCGGCAGCACCTACCCTGGATCGAACCCGGCTCCGCTACCACTGCGTGAGCAGTGGCAGCGAAAGCACGGGCTCCGGGACCCTTTTGGCCATGGTGCATGGCCGGCTTGAGCCAACCAGTGCAGTGGTCTTTTTGACCAAGTGGTTCAACCTCTTCTTTGCAATAAAGTATGTGCGGAGTTGTTTTGCATGAGACATAGAACTGTCACACCGATGTTGTTGAACCAAAAACCATGGTATTGACGAGTTTGTTGGCAGTAAGAGCAACAAAACCCCGTATAAACGCCAATGTGTTAAACCCCGGCAAGCCAAAAATCAGGGCCTCTACCAGGTTTGTGGCCTTACGCCATCATGTGAAGGTCGATGTTTTAGAACCTCGGCAAGCTACAGTTGCGAGGTCAAAGAAGAGGCTCCAACCTCACTCACCTCCCCTCCTGAACCCAGCGTACACATAAAACATGCTCCCCCGAGGCCGCCGAGCTCCGCTCGGGGTGCTCACCCGGCGCGTTTCGCCCGGCGGAAATGCGCCGGCGCTAGCTGGGCCCCAGATCTGGTGGATACTTGCAAGGTTGCATGGCATGGCGTTCTGCCCCACTCGTCCATTGGGCCTAAGGTCAAAGGCACCAACCTCACCATCGAAGGCAAGGGGGAAGTCCAAACCCCGCCTCCAAGGAACCAAGATGAACCAAAGGATCTGGCACTCCGAGAGTGCGCAGCATTGTGCAGCATTTCTCGGAAAAGGATTCTACTGGATGCTGCTCATTTCAGGAAATCTGCATGACCAGCAGGGGTGGGGCTCTACATCATTTGCTATCCGCTGGTGGGGGCCGCCAGCATGTCCAATCTCCAGGTAAGCCCGGACACTCCATGGGACTGGACTGGCTACGCTCCCCACTGCGGGCAAATATGGCGGTCCCTTGGAATGTATGTGCAAAGAGGTGCCCCAAAGCCCATCAAACCTCCACAGCTCTTCCAAGAATTTTTTGTAATTTAGGTATCCGGATCCGGAAAGATTGACGCCCCAGCATCCCACAAAAAGGCAACATAACTAACACCAGAAATCACAAGACACAAGGTCGCTGGACAACAACCCTTAGAAAGGCAAGCTGCACAGTAGGGTGAATGACGAAAGTCTTGGGCCAAACCCGTTGCCCATTGGGTCAGGGAAAAAATGCCTTTCATCCACTCAAAGCAGCACTGGGATCTCCCAAGTTCTCTTCCTCCAGCTCTCAAGCTCACATCTTGCAAGCCCACACCCTGGCCTTGTGCGGTTCTCCGGAGGCAACATAGAGGCAGTGAAGCCATCCTGGGTTGGGCGGATCTTCAGGTCAATGCTTGGTGGGCGATATCCAAACTATCATCTGAGAGGAACGACTGGGTCGAAGACCCTTTTCATTGAAGACTTGGCATGCTGGCCCTGGCAATACGCCCACCCACCACGAAAGCCTGCGAAATGCGCTTCCTTTCATCCCGCCTTAAAAAAAACCTGCGGAAAAGCCCACGCAAAAGCCGCGTGTTCGCCACTTGGGCAGCCCGGGCCGATTGGTACGAGTAGCGGATGAGCCGAAACTGCACCGCCTCGGTGAGCGGCACGCTCGATGCATCGGGAACCGTGTCGTAGCGAACCGACGGTCGTCGGTTTGAAGGATTCCATGCTGCATCACCTGCGGGAGAGACAAACACAAAAAGGTATATAGTAAGGTCACGGCTGCGGTGCTGCACTGTGGTGAAGATCAAGGATGTGTTTCATCAACGATGGACGAGTCTGTACTGATATATATATATATATATATTTGAGCGACTGCTGCTTTGATGTTGTCTCATTAGGGGTTAGGCTGGTGTTGTTCCGGGCACCGGAATGCATCAAATAGAGACAGATCTGTCGTGTGCTCCGTGTCGACAGTCGACGTCATTCCTGCAGTCTCTTCTGTGGTTTTTCACTCCATGTGTTCAACTGTTTAACCAGGTAACCATGTGTTCGTTGAATTGTTTTTGGAGTTTCCCAGTGGAACACATGGTTTTCAAGAGTTGAACAAAACTGCCAGCACTGCCGACATCACCACCTGGTGCTGAGAGTCTGGCCTGACCGACTTCCAAGCTTGGCTTCATCTGGCCCTGGCGTGGGCAAGGTCGTCCGCGGAGAGGTCGCTTGACGGATCTCGCGGTCAAGTGATATTAAAATCTGGGTGCGCAATTTGATGGGGAGATCCCCCACCAATGGGTTTTTGGTCTATTGGGAGGTCCCCCTATTTCAATACACAACCGTCACAACCGTTTCTTTCCTCAAAGAACATCCTTATCCTTGGCCTACAGCGAAGGGAGCGATATTTGCGGTAGATAGATGTGATGTGGCGCTTTATCCATGTTTCACTTGAGGGTGAATTTGAAACATTGATATTTTTGCGCGCAGTGGCTTTTCGATCTTCCAAAAATTTAGATCCGCTGTTTTGTTGGCTTGGAGCGCCACACGGTACCTCCATGATGACGCACTAGGTGATCTGGAAGCGTCGCTAGCGACGCAAACACAAAGCAAGAAGCAACCAAACCAAGAAGCGAAGCAGCTACTGACTGCTTGGCTGCATGTCAACCTCTGCCAACTGAGCCAGGTGAAGCATCTGCTTTTCCCAGTGATGCCTTGGACGCCTCAGGGCTTTCAGCTGGAACCAGGAACTTCGCAGGCAACTCCTTGATGGGGATCAAAGCGTCCTGACCACCGATGGAGTTCTCCTTCACCACGTCCATCCCCCACCCCGGAGGAAAACAGGAACAAAAATTGAAAGAATATAGAAGCAAAGCAAAAGGGACATCCTCCGCAGAAGAACATCACCATCCCTCATCTGAAACTCTATGGGCTTTTTGGCTGCAAAAGAAATGCCCGCGCAATTGGCAAACCGGCTGGGAATCTCTGCAATGACCAGGTCTTCTAACTTCGTAGATCTGTATCGTGGAACGATTCCGGGGGGATCATGTTGGAGGATTGACCACACCATACCCTCGGCCTTCCACGACCTCACCTGGGCGGGTTTCGCCGTCGAGCTCGCTTCTACCGACCCGGTGGAGTCCAGCCCGTCGATCACGCTCACGAAGATGCCATTCTTCTGAACTGAAGAGACGAAGCCCACCATGAGCTTGTTCGGGCTGTAGTTCTCCTTCCTGGCCAGAAAGAACCGCTCCCCAATGAAGCCATGTTTGGCCGATTCACTTCAAGCCAGGAAGGCAGGTGATATCAGTAGGGGTTAGGGGTGAGGACGTTAGTAGGAATGAAATGGGGACATACCTGGACATGGTAAACTGGACCCATCTCCTAGACAGTGGGTTTTGGGTAGCTATATGTAGCTGTTGGAAATCCTCTTTATCCCAAGTCCAGGTCTATGACAACCGCCACACCGCTGGAATGAAGGCCTTCAACACGCAAGCCGCTCCTGGCCTTTTGAACGTATCCTCAGCAAAACCTGACCCAACAATTCCTGTATAAAGAATTTTGCCTTCGGTGAACCGTCCCTCCCTCTTGGTGTGAAGCACTGGAGACGCACCGCACACCCTCGGCCGATTCAAGGCCGGGGAGTGGATCATGCCATGACCCGCTGGGCTGCCCACGGACAGCCGAAAAGGACACCCTATGGCCCCTCTTGAGCCCTTCTGCTTCCCTACCCTTCTCCCTTCCGCATACCCCACCCACCCGGCCCAAAAAGGGACGACTGGCTCGTCCCGATCTGCGGGGGCGCCACATCTCCGCCGTCCCCCGGGTGCCCCGACAGCTGGTCGATGCGCTCCTCCATCTTCCGGCGCCGGGCGTCCAGGTCCTCACGATGGCACCGGGACGCCGGGGAGAGGGGTGGAAGCCTCGAAATGGGTGGGTGGGATGCTGTGGATTATGGCACCTGGAGAGCAACCCAGCGCCAAATCAAGCTTGAGATGGTTTCGTTTGACCTGTCACAGGGGCCCCCCTACTGCTATGCATTTGGTCTTTCTGAAGATGCACCCATTTAGAAGCCCAAGGAGCTGAACGGAAAGATACGGAATCCTGTTACTAGTAGTAACAAGAAGCTAGTAGGAACAAGCGCATCGCTACTAGTAACAAGTGCCTTACTACTAGTAACAAGAAGCTATTAATTTAATTTAAACTCAAATTTAATTCTAATTTAATTTCCTTATCATAAGGAATCCTAGGATTCCCCTTGGCAACGGTCTGACGCTCGAGAAATCCTGTAAGGAATGGCCAGCTAATTAGGCACTGAACCCCTACTGACAGGCTCGAGACCTATTCGGGGGACCTTCTGCCTGGCACCAAAACACAACTAGGTTCGCTTCAGTAGCTCCGAAACGGTGCCGCCCTTGCCCACGCCCACGTCTTGATATGAATCCCTGCCCTCCAAATGCAGCACCAGCTCTGAACTTTCAGGTCTGCACTTCGATTTGTTTTGAGGTGGACCTGGTCCAGGTTAGACCACCAACTCCATCCGCCACTGCCACTGCTCCTCGCTCTTCAGCACTTCCTCCCGGCGCTTCAGCATCGTCGCCCGCTCGGCGCCCAGCTCGCGCACCGCCAGGCGGCCCGAGGCATCCATGGCAGCCGTCACCTCGGGCCAGGTGTCCGTGGCCCATCCGCTGGGAGGGTTCACCAGCTGGGTGGGGCGCGTGAAACGGTGGGAACCCGAGCAGTAAAAATGAAGCTCCCAGTCAGGTGACTGGGCTCAGTGGGCAAGAAAGGCACATGGTAAGAGTCAAAGTTTATCCAAGAAGTCTGTAGGAGATGGGTGTATGATATCCCACGCGAGCCTCTCTGCATTATCCCACTCCTGCCTTGCCAAATCTGAGTGCAACATGTCACAGCAACCAAGTAGATGACACATGCCCAAATAACCTATGCAATTCTTAGCCCACGAGTTGAGAACTCTCAACGAAAAAACAACAGGAACCAGCCAAAACTCGGCTGTTCTTTCCGCACTATGTAACGTAGACTCTTGATTCATAAGCTCCCCCCATGTGAACCACATTGAAGAGGTTGTTCCATTCCAATGGGGAGCAACTCCTCCTGGGCGACTCCTCCGACGAGTCCCTCCTCCGATCCCCGACTCTCCACCGCTTCGGCACCGTCTTCCTCACGGCGTTGGTGTTGGCCTCGGTCCGCGGGACCATGTGCTCCACCGGCAGGAAGCCTTCCCGTCCACCTGAGCTGGCCGCGCAGGCTGGCCGCGGACGCAGGCTGGGCAGGCAGAATCTCGGGCGGCGCCGCTGTGAAACGGGGGGAAGGTGGGGGGGGCGCGGAAGCATGGGTTGAAGTGGGTTAGATTGAAGCAAGGGTGTGGGAAATCGTGTGTTTTCACATCTGATTTAACAATGTGTTTTGTGAAAATCCGTGTGTTGGCTGTCACGTTTTGGTTTTGGGGTAAGATTTGGTGAGGGGGCATCTCAGTTCCTTGAGTCTTTGTGGCCCACAAGGACGTGCATGGTTGCACGTCGCGCCCAATGGACCCCCCCACTCACTTTCTCATCACTCGAGTCGCTCGCCAACACCCCGCCATGCACAGGATCCTCTTGGGATCGATGCACCGTCTTGCCCATGTCGGGCTGTAAATCAATCGAGTCTGCGAGGGTCGCCCTGAGAAGTGTTTTGGTTCCCCCCTGGGCCGTGACACCCAGAGAATGCTGGAAGAGCCACAAGAGCCGGGACATGCGGCCCGGAAGAAACCCCCAGAACGAAAAGAATGGGAGTACCAAAACCTCTGAAAATAAGGGGGGGGCGGCTTTATGAATCCACCCTTCGGCCCGACCCGGACCCAGCACGAGCACCGGGCGCCACCTGGTAGGCGCAAGAAGCACCCTGTGGGACGGTATCGCAGCGCTTTGGCCATGATGAACTTCCCATCCTTCAAGGCTCAAGGCTCATGTGACTCAAGACATCTGAACGAGTCATAACCCTGGTGTCTGGCGCCAGGTCTGGCTGAGTAGGTGAATGATTTTGAGCGATTGTGAATGGCCCTGGCCCTGCTCACTGCTCACTCCACCTAGTGGGACTTGACCAACTCCCCCCCGTCTTTCCAGCTTCCTAAGGAAGCCCTGGCGGTTTCCCGGACAGCCCCTCTCCTCGAGCTGGGTTTCCAGCTCCAACCTCAGCAAAACCAGGGCGTTGAAAGCATGGCATTTGGGCTCCATTTGTCCAGGAAGAAAACTCTTTAAACAACAGGCAAGGAGCACCTGGAAGACCAGAATTCTTGTGTCTGGTTGGATGTTCGCGGCAGCGACGCAGCGACCCTACTGCTCCAAAAAGAGGACACCTCGCACCCCCGCGCTCACCATTAAAGAGCAAGCGAACACCTGGGACACCTGTGGACAGTGAATCAACACCCCTTCAGGACCTCTTCACTTGAAACCTTCCATGAATTTGCATAAGAATCCTGTTCCCATGAAGACGCAGGGCTTTGGAACGCGAGACTCGGTTCTTACGGCTTTTGGGGCTTGCGAAGTCGTGCGGCCGATCCATTTTCAGCACTGGTTGGCAGACAGATCAAAACTAACCCCAAATATCATCCAGTCAACCACGGTGTGGTGTTGTGGTGATTCTCTTCGTGCCATTGTTTGTCTCATTTGCCGCCCTGTGTTGTAGTGTGTTGTATTGTGTTGTAGTGTGTGTCCGTGTGTACTGTCAGGGGGTTCTGTGCTGTGTGGTTGTGCCTGGTGTTGCCATTATGTGATGTTTCTTGTCTGCTGTCATGTCGGGAACGGTCGTCGAATCCACTGGTGAAACAGTAGCAGGACGGTTGGGTGACCAGCGGAACACTGGCGGAACGTCATTGTGTGTTGTATGCAGAATTGCTTGTCTGTTGTGGTGCTGTTTCCCCTCCCATTTCCAGGTAGCAGTTGTGAAAGGCTGTCTAGGCCGCTAGGCCCTGGCCCTAGCCCGGCGAGAGTTGGCTCGCGTCAACGTGCCGATGAGCACAACCATTCCGAGAATTCTGACGCGATTGGTCCCGAATGAACTGCGCCAACCCGACCCAATCCAACCCAACAAGACCCCCCAAAGGGCCGAAGAGTCGAGTCGAACCAGGACTCCAGGCAGTTCGTCGTCCGACACCGCCGCTTTGGAGGATGCCACGGACACCGCGCTGGAGCGGCCTCGTCCAACGTGGGGCTGGCAAACCGGCACCCATGAAGAGCGACTCCCAAAGAAACCAAAATGTAGAGCGACTCAGGAAGAAAATCCGCATTTCCACGCACAATCAAATGTGGTCGAGACTGTTATAGAGGCCCAACCTTGAGGATTTACAGCTGTTGATACTGTTAATTCGAGGAAGCACGGCGCCAGGAGTTCGTCCCCCCACCTGCGCCACCGGCGCACCAGCTGCGCCCACTCCGCGCCACTCCCACGGCGGGCGGCCGCCGCAGGGGCGGCGGTCCGCCGGCGAAGTAGATACAGCCATCCCGAGCCGCCTGAAGACGGACGGGACGTGGACCACGTGTTTTTTCATTTTTGTTTGGTTCATCTGGGTTCTTTGTCATTTGGTCTGAACTTGTGTGCTTTCTATTTTCGCGGGGGGGGAGGGCACCAGTGGAGGTGAAAACTCCTTGGATGAGCCGAAAGGGGATTTCTGGCCTCTCCGAGGTGCGAAGAACCAGCTTCACAACCCAAGCTGAGGGTGTGTGACTTCCTGATCCCGCCGTTGTGAATGTCGACTCTTGATTTCAGAACCCCTCCCAATTGATGGTGAAAACCAGGTCAATACCTCAGAACCTCTAGAACCGGGAGCCTTTTCAAGGAGTCCGGAATGACATGGACCACCACCACCGCGACCCGTCCGGGCCCCGTCGCGCCTTGGGCTCGCCAGCTCCCCAGCTCCAATCGTCCTCCGGAGGGCGAGCGGAGAGGGCCTGGCGGGCGGCCGTGGCGCGAACGGTGGGGGAGAGGGAAGCTTCGGGAAGCTTTTGGAGGGCATGGCTGAAGAAAAGTGTTCAAAAATGGCAGTGACAGTAAAGAGATGGGTGACGAAACCAGCTCAGGGTGGGGGGTGACGAAACCAGCTCTACCCCAAAAGAAAGCGTAGAAAGCGCGCCACGAATCACCAGTTCACCGCTGTATGCTTCACCTCCAGCGCCAAATGCTTCCACCGCGCCTCCCACACCTCCGTGCGAACCTCCCGGACAGCGCTCAAGTGGTGCTGCAGCTCACGGCGCGGAGAGCCGGAACTGGGCTCGCTGTGGTGCACCGCCTCCGGAGGATAGAATTGGGTGTCCAGGAGCCTTTGACATCCCAAGCGCGCGCGCGCCCGAATAGCAGGAGAATTCTTCCGCAGGTGCCGTTCCGCACGTCACTACGCGGAAAAAAGGTGAGCAGGGCCAGGGGTTGTGAAGCCAGTGAACAATGCATACTCCACTTTAGGGCCCTTTGCGGTGCTTGCTGCAAGCTGCATGTGCCACCTCTGACTAAAGAGGAGTCCACAAAGGGTTGAGGTTGTCTTCTAATTATATATTATTTGTTTTTTTCCCGTGGTCTGGCGGATGCCTGAGTGAACCCCAAACGCCTCCTCCTCGCGACAGGCAGCCAAGGCTGGCACATCCCGCTCCTCCAGCGCAGTGCCGGTGAGTGGAGGTCCTGGGCGTGAGTGAAAGCCTCTCTCAGTGGATCTGGGACACAAACTTGAAGGCCCTCAAGTCCACATGCCAGACTACCGGGCATGAATTTCTTCGTATGGCAACATTGTCAATCAACTTGCGACGTTCGCAGGTTTTTTTACAAGTGGGGTGTGTGTGTGTGTGTGTGGGTGCGTGCTTGTTTGTTAGACACTGTTGCATTCACAAGCTTGAACTTTTTCAGTGCGCCATGGGAGCATCTTAACAAGGCAATCCGTCAGCACATGTGCACAAGGATAACAACACCAACCAACAAAAACCAGGAAACCTATGGAAACCTCTTCCGAAACGGGCGAAGTCAGCAGGCCCGTCAGCACGACAGCAGCGTCGAGACACATGCGGAACCCGCGTGTTCAGCGGACAACGTGTGGGGCGCCCCCAAGCTAGCACAGAGCAACGTGTCAGCATGACAGCCTGACAACTTGTCCGGGTGAGCCAGCAGATCAGCGCAAAAAAAAAGAATCGGCTTCAGCGTGTCTACACATCTGCATGACAAGCCTTCTAGAAACACACCACACCGCTTGTCAGAAGTCTGACATGTTAGGAAGCTAGCAAAAAAACAAACTGCAAGGTGGCCTGACGGCATGTCAACACAGCGACACCAGGTGGCCCGTGTCAGCTCGCCGTGTCCGCTCGACGCCGTGACTAACATGGTCAGCTCGCGCTCTGGAGCTTGTGGGAAGCTGCTCCCAAACTCAGGAGCCTCTGGAACCTGCTCCGGAACTTGCTCCGGAACCTGCTCCGGAACTTGCTC